CTCAGAGCCTGGAGCCTGCTTCGGATTTTGTGTCTCCCTCTCTCTCTGCCCCTCTCCCACTTGTGCTTTCTCTCTTTCTCAAAAATAAATAAACATTTATTTATTTTTTTTTATAAATAAACATTTAAAAAAAGAAATATTTTTAAAGTATATATATGTGTGTGTGTGATATATGTATATTCACACACATACACATACACAAAGAGAGAGACAGAGAGAGAGAAGGCACATAGGGTAGGGACAGAGAGAGAGGGAGGGAGAATCCCAAGCAGTCTCCTCACTGTCAGCACAGAGCCCAGCCCCATGAACCTTGAGGTCATGATCTGAGCTGAAACCAAGAGTCAGCTGCTTAACTGACTGAGACTCCTAGCCACCCCTGGAAGAAGCAATTTCAGAGAGTTGGGTCAGGATGAATCGCCTATGACTGAAACTAGGTAGAGATGGAACTACTCTGTCTCTCCACCCAAGAGGGTGAGTGCATAGTTCTTGAAATAATGAGAACCTGACAGCCTGGAACAAGAGAGCTGTGTATTCAGTTGTGACAGGTTTAATCTTCACAGACTCAGAGACATAGATGGTAGGCCTGGTGGGGACCAGCCAATCCAGGGCCTCAGTGGGGGTGGGTGGTTGAGGGTAGTTGCTGGGTTGGGTGGGAGAAATATAGCTAAATCTCTACCTGAAATTAGGCTGAGGAGATGTCAAGAATAATTCTGTTCTTTGTCTGAAGTTTTCTCTTCCAGTCCTTCTGTGCCCACTTCATGACCTCGTCTGGGCACTCAGACCATGGCAGCTGCCTCAGCCCTGAGAGCTACTTGTCTCTTATGCCACTTTTGTGATAACCCGAGGGCGTTTGACACCAAAAATGTCATTAGGTTTTATTCCGTTTAAGAATTTGTTTACTGAGGACCTATTTCCTTAACAATAGGTTAAGCTCTTTAAGGTCTGTTGGTCATGGATGATTCAGCATAGAGTCCTCTGGGAAGCCTCCCTTGACTTCATCCAGGCTAAGTTAGGTTCTCTTTTCGTGGTGCGGCCACACCTAATGTCACGGAAGGCTTATTAGCTCCGTTCGTGAAGGTCTGTGTACCTGTCCTCCCACCTCCACCCGCTGACAGTTCCTGGAAGTCAGAAATAGTCTGACTTATTTCCGTGTTTATTGCTAGTCTGACATAGTTCTGGCATATAACATGTGCCCAGTATTTGTTGAGCACTGGCTATTAAATGGATAGAAGACGGTGGGAACAAAATCTTCTATATCTCAGACCTCCAGAATGATAAGCAAAACACCTTTTGCATGGTAAGAACTATGATAAGAACTACTGCTAAACAAATAAAGGCAGATCCTGACTAGCAACCAGTTTGCTTGGAGGTGAGCAGAACATAAAATCAAAACAAAACAATGCACTCATGTATGTCTACACACGTACTCTTACCTCTGGTTCCGGTAGAACGCGCTTCCTTGCTAGCATGGGCCACGTTACCTTGCTTCACAGGGACCATGTCTCTAGTCCTCCTCGATTCAATGGGCATATGCCACAGGTGGATCCCTTGTAGTATGACATGTGAGCACGAGCCTCAGCGCCCAAGCTGTTGATTTAATAGCACACCCGTACCCTAAGTTTGTTTCCCGAAGTGTACCTGTGTAGCCAGACGGCTGAGCTCGACAGCAATGTCAGATCCTGAGTTCCCCAGGCCGATGACAAGGACCCTCTTCCCCTTGAAGGCGTCCGGGTCTTTATAGTCCCTGCTGTGGAGATAGTGGCCTTGAAACTGGTGTAGGCCTAAGTGGAACATGAGGAGGGATTTGAGCTGATTTTCAGAAGACATGGTGAAAACTGACTTTTTCAATTTTTTTTAAGTCCTGTTATCAGTCTTAATTTTGAAAAACAGTTTCCTAGTTGAAACGCATTTATCCTTTTTGACACTAACCCCCCAAATAAGTACTTACAGTGCCTTAAAAACCTATGATATGGGAACTTCTATTTTGATAATAATGATAACTAATATTTATTGAGTGCTTACTGTGGGCTAGGATCTATATGCTTAAACAAACACTTAATCTTGATAACATCTCTGTATGGCAGATATCATTATCTTTTAAAAGATAAGGAAGTCGAGACAAAGAAGTTAAGTGACTTGTCCAAGATCATATGCTAAGGAACTAGTGGAATAAGAGGTTGAGCCCAAGTGTTCTAAGCCTAAATATACTGCCTCTTAACCTTCATGCTTTCCATCTTCTATTCTCCCTGAATCTCTACTTATTCATGTATTTATTTATAAATATTTTCTAGATTTTATTTTAAAGTAATCTCTACACCCAATGTGGGGCTTGAACCCACAACCCCGAGATCAAGCGTCACACACTCCACTGACTGGGCCAGCCAGGTGCCTCTGGGTGCCTCTTTTAATTATCTCAGCCTGTGAACATCATGCCTTGAGATCAGAACTCTAATATTTTAGAGTAGACCTGTGTTCCTATTGTAATAAAGGAGAAAGTGAGGTTACCTGTGTATTATATTTATTTGATGTTTGGTGCTTTTGCATACTAATGGAGTGTGCCACTACACACACACACACACACACACACACACACACACACACTCACTGAAATTTCTAAAGTGAATTTGCAAAATGTGGATATAGATGACATTTAAAAACCCTTCCTCCATAAGGACCTGTATCGTCAACTGATCTCTGACTTGCAGCTTCTTGATTCTTTTAGCATAAGGGTTCAGGAGAACAATGATTTCTGTATTTATCATCAGACTTAAAAATTTGGTTTTGAAATCTTTGGAACCTTAAGAATAATCATTATGGACAATCTATGGAAAGATCTAGCTCAACCCTTGGTGCTTGTGTATAAATCCCCAGACTATTACACGTTTTCCAAACTTACCAGGAAAGGAATCAGTTGGTAGATTGGGGTATACGTGATGTCCCGAACAAATCATTATAGCGTCAAAAATAGTAGATTCCTGTTTCCCATCTTTTTCTGAAACAACTTCCCATTGTCCAGTGACTAAGAAGCTGGGACATTTCTTTATGCTAGAAACCAGGGTCTTAAAGAAAACCAGAAAGAAATTCCTTCTATTTACAATTCTGTGGGTTTTAATTTTCTTGCAGTGTTTCTGCAGAGGAAGTAATTGTTATGAGCTTGCCTGATTGTTGAGAAATATAGGGAGGACATTAAAACAAGGAGTCACAGTGAATCTTCAAATCTTCCAAGGAAAATCACTCACTGGGGCCTATTTACTTTTGTGACATCTAGTTAATAGATTTGGGGTAAATTACACTGAATCTTGTGAAAGAGGCCATGTCATTTGCTTCCTGCCATCCTCTACTGAAATTCATGGCCTCTTTCTCTCTGACCTCATTTCCTATCAATTCCATAAATGTGGGAATGTCTCAGGGTTCAATCCTTATTTCTCCGTGGTGACGTACCCTCTCCCTTGGAAATATTAGCCACTTCCATAGTATGACTATTTATGTAAATAAGTGTGAAATCATATTAAATTAAACATAATAAATAAAATAATCATAGATAAGTGAAATTGTATTAAATGTAATCACAATTCATGATATGGTTGATTATTTTTCTCACTACATATATGTGCTTTGTATTTCACAGTCATGAACCGAGGTTAAGACCTGTGAGCAAATATGAAGTATTATTGTTATTTGCAGAGAGCGCATCTCTGCCTTAACTGCTGTGTCTCCTCATCTAAGAAACTAAGTGGGTGAAGGATGAGGGCAATGGCTGTATTATTCATTCATATTTTACTCTCCTTATAATGGCAGAACTTCTGAAGAATGGCATATTTTCTTGAACCACAACTCATCGGCCTTGAACCCACAGAAATCTTAATATGGACTAGACAGTCTGGGATTGTTTCTAACACGTGACAGTGTATGGGGTGGAACATATGCTATGATAGTATAGGCTTCTCCAGTATTTGTGATGATATTCTAAAAGTTCTCAGACACTATGGAGGACATTTTTAGGGGGGAGAAAGCACAATGCACGAATACTTTATAATCCGAACCAACATTTGATTGGTGAGCTGTCCAAACATGGAGCTCTGATTTCTGTAATGGAAGTCTGTATCCTTGCTTCCCACCCCCTTCCAACCGATAAACATACTGGGATCAACAGCACAAGGTGTAAGACCCTTACCTCAAACTGAATATATCTTAAAAGATTCTTCTTTTGAGCAAATGTCTTTATGTATTCCTGGAGTTTGCTGTGGTGCATGTAGTTGGGGTAATCATCAGGATAAGGGAAGTCTGGAAAGCACATCATCTCTTTGGAAGAGTTGGTGAATACCGACTGGTAAATGCTGGCTCTGCCCTCTTCGGCATGGTCCTAGGAAGAGGAAGAAAGCTTAAAAAGGAGGCCAAGGATGATGTTTCCCTCAGTGAAAATTCAACAAAGAAAGCCTTTAGCATAGCACCTGGCACAGAGCTGGGACCCTACACCTTAGTTCTCTTCCTCGAATTACCCCCATGTTACATCTGTGTTTATAGTCCCGTAGCGTTTTCTTCCTTTTTCCAGTCACAGCGCTGGTTCTGATCTCATGGTCATGTTAAAAGAACACAATTAAATGGTCCAAAGGAGGGTGCAGTTTTTAGTCTATTTGATCGGCTGTTTGATTCGAACACTTCACTTGAAGTGGAGGGTTTATTCATTTGGCATAATCAGAATCAGCTGAAGGCCCCCTTAGATTCCTGCGTGCCACCTCGTTCACCTCCTCCCCGCCCCCCAGGATTTCTGATTCAGTGTGTCTAGTGGGGAGCCTGAGAATAGGCATTTCCGATAGTTGCAGGCGATGCTGATGCCGCTGGTCTGGAACCGCACTTTGAGAACCACTGCTCTCTTGTAGATGAACTCCGTGCTGGCGGACCTCCCTAACCACCAGTTAGTGGCACTTGCTCCTCACCGAAGAGACACAGGAAACCAGGAGCCTCAGAACTTGTATCAAATCTTGCCACTTCATTATGGAGCCGCTATGTGATTGAAAACTGGCTTCTTTTGAGAAGTAGTTGAAGGCTAAATGGAAAACAAACATTTCCTCTCTGCTGTAAGGGCAGGATAAAAATTCACACAATGTGCTGCCTTGAAAGTACATTAAAAAGCTGGCAGCCTCCGCTTCCCCCAAACCCAAAGGAACCTTCATGAAATGTGGGAACGGGATGGAATGACATGTTCCTGCTGGATTCAGGACATCTGTCATCCTCTAGCCCCAAACTGACCTCTGGAAGATACAGACCAAAAGTGCTGGAATGGTTGAGAGGCTTGGGTCTGGGTCTGGGGTGGGGGTGGGGGTGAGGACGGGGGCTGCCTGAGGCCCCTGTTTGGCTTTAGGTTGGGATGAAAACTTGCTCTATTCACGGTTGCTGTGTTTTTCATAAATAGCCAGGCTCGGAGATGTTAACGTTCTTAAGCCTCACTTTGAAATTTCTGTGACGATCAGAAAAAGGGTGACAGCTTGTGCCTGGCGGATTTTCAGGTTTGAGTCTTTCCCGTTCACCCACAGCGGTACCTTTGGTTGGTTGTTGTGAGAAGGAGAAGTGAGCAGAAGGAGTGAGGGGAGGGAAGGCGGGCTTCAGGCAGGGGTCTGGTTAAAAAAATGTAAGACTCCGCTCTGGGAAACAGAGTGGATAAGACCTTGGATTATTTCCATCATTAATGAATTTCTGCTCTTTCGCCTCCTGACCCCAGCCGATCATAACAGAGAGAAGAGTATGTACCCGACAGCTCCTTGGAATTTCCCCTGACAGGCTGTTCTACAAACAAAGGAAAACGCTTGTGTTATATAACAACAGACAATTGCTCCAGAGAGCTAGTATTTCCAGTTTCTGCTTGTGGCGTAGTTTAAGTGGCTAGTGAGCAAGTTAAGCTCAGACTCTGCCTCTGGCTGAGAGGGCTTGCCCTAGACCCAGAGATCCAAGCAGCTGCGGTCACGTTGTCACAGCCTTTGTTGGGTTATAACTGCATCTGTGTCTCGTCTTTCCCGCTAGAACATAACCAACCGGGGGGCGAGGTCAGAGGCTAACTCGAGAATGTTGTGTGCGCATGTCAAGCAGTCTGGCTTGATCTTCTTTCAGACTCTGCCTGTCAATCCCACTTCTGCTTGTCTAAAGATACCCTCAAGGTCCAGCTCCAAAGTTGCCCCCTTCGTCATGCCTTTCCTTGCCTCTCTCTCACCAACCTGAAGTCATCCCTACCTCTACCAAGCTCTGATTGACTTTACTGCCCTAATCGCATATTCACGTATATTACGGTCATTCTGAGACTTGTTTTCTCTGATTTTAAAAAGCTGGCTGCCTGCTGTACCTCTTATCTGCAGCTGTACCTAACACTGTACCCTATCCATAGTGTACTCTGAATGTATTTGTTGAATAAATGAGTGGATGAGTGGAACAAAAGTCCAGGGAGTTCTGGTTCCATTGTTTTCCCCTTTTGCAATCAAAATAATACCCACCTATTGTACACGGCTTGTTGAACAACTTGTTAATTAATCTTTTGAGGACACAAGGCCTTAATATCGGAGGATATGAAACTAAAACATGCTCGCATTCAGCCTGCGAGTGTTTAAGTCTCATTTGGTTTCCGTTTTGCAGAAAAAGCACGTGGTGAAAAGTTCAGAATTATCAGGTGTCTTTCTTCCAAATTACCTTCTGCCTAACAGGACTTGCAAGATAAAAGCTTATGTAACACATTCTTCAAAAATCCCTTTCTAAACATGCATCGAACCCAGCGGGTTTTCTTGGAAAAGAAGAGAAGGGTTCACCTTTTGGCTATAAGGCGAATGGTGCAGATATAATGTCTTCATGCCAAGTATGTATCATCTACATCCAATCACTATGGCTGAGAAATTCAGGACAGAAAGATAGAAGTTTCCCCGACCTGTCTTTCACAATTAGAGTATTTTTATGTATTTACATCCCCACAGGGTCTTTAAGTATAATTCTTATAACCAGTGACCTATGGAAGAAAGATACCCATCTTGTGGATAACCTGGAGACTGATTTTGCATTTTACTCATCTGTCATATATTGCTTCCTTAAATAAATGTTGTGATCTGGCTGCACTGGTTAACTTACAAATTCCCGGATATACCATGTTCACTGCCTCCCCATGCCTTTCACGCTGGTCCCTTCTACCGAGAAACCTCTCCCACCGGGTACTGGCACACTGTTGGTGACCGCATGTCCATGGGGTGCCGTTCACAGACTACAGTGGAAATGGCACTCTGGAGTTATGTCACATAGCGGTCCTCTACGTTCCTTGTCTGAGAACACCCTTCAAGTCTCAGCCAAGTACTCTCCCTGCAGGAAGTGTCCCTTGACCTGAGAACATTTCAGTAGCCACCCCCCACCCCATCTCCTAAATCTCAAAGCACTTGTTCATTAAGTTGACCATCACCAAGGGCTGTCTCATTGTTGTAAAGTATTATAATCTCTTATTTGAAATTCATAGGGCCAGATATATTTTGGAATCTGTAGATTTTTGGATTTTTCTCCATAACACTTCTAGTGAGAAGTGGGACAGCACCCTATCATCAGACACAAGAAAATTTCTGCAGTGAAACACAAAGTGGGACAAATAAAGATTATAACTAGCCCAATGTCAATTCAGCTCATGTTTTCTGGTCTTATGACTTCAGGAAAGGTTTTGCCATCAAATGAATTCTTGCCGATCTTTCTATCAAAGGATTGTGGCCCTGTGTTATGGCTTGTTTCACCAAATGGATTGGAAACCATTTATGTAAAGTAATTATGTCATGCATTTGTCATCCCAGTACCTAGCACAAAACTCTGCCAAAATAGATATTCAAGCAGCATTTAATTGTTGCTAATGGGATCATGGAGAACCATTTCATGATTTAGGCTAAGCTGGTCACATCTCCCTGAGCAAATGTAAATAAAGATAATGGAATCCTTAAAAAAATAACTTTTGGGGTGCTGAGTGGCTCAGTCTGTTAAGCACCTGACTCGATTTTCACTCAGCATGATTTCACAGTTCTTGTGATCGAGCCCCGTATTGGGCTCTGCCCTGATGGTATGGAGGCTGCTTGGGATTCTCTGTCCCCCTCTCTCTTTGCACCCACCCTCTCAAAAATAAATAAATAAACATATTTTTTAAAAAATAATTCTTGATCATTTCCTAATGGAGATGATCTTATATCTCATATAATACTTTCAGGATTATAGGACTTCACAAATTAAAAAAAAAAAAAAGACTCTTGAGATGAATACAAAGATGTCCTAAGTTAGCACTGGTATATTCTACTAGAGCAACTTGTTGTTGTAGGTTGGGCAAGCACTGAGACCAAGACAGAATTTGGCTATAAGGTGACTGGTATGGATATAACGTCTTCATGCCAAATATATATCATCTATATCCAATCACAATGGCTGAGACATTCAGGACAGAAAGAATAGAAGTTTCCCCAATGTGATTTTCAAAATTTAAACATGTTTTGTATAGTGAATATTTACTAATTATATCATTTGTCCAACCATGAGCCTGAATGGCAAAGACAAATCAGTTTTTTCTTTGGTTTTGGAGTTGGTTGGAGTATTCAGTAACCACACACACAACACACACAGTCATTGTTTATCATAACTTACAGTGTCTTCCTGATAGACATGTGGTAATTATAGAATCACATCCCATTACAGTTGGAAGGCATATTAAAGGAAACTTAATTTCCAGCCTCAACATCTGACAAATGAGCATTTGAGGTCCAGAAAGAAAAAAGCGACTTGCCGAAAATTAATCTTTCCGGAAAACCTAAGAGTTGAAACTAACTGAGAACTTCTGATCTTGGTCTACCTTTCTCCTTTTCTTTTTCTTTTCTTTTTTAATCCCCTTTATGTTCCTAGGATTCTGAGCAATAGGGAACAGGGATAGATTCCATTCATTTACATGGGGGAGGCAGTGGTGCATTTTTGTTTTTGTTTTTGTTAGAAATTACCGACATTAGCACCCTTTACAGCCTGGAGATCTGGGCTCTGTTACACAGGTAACATTGTTTTATGAGCTGGTATGAAGTAGTTTTGAGTGATTGGACATTAGCATGATGGGAGAGAGAAGATTTTACTTTCCAGATCTGGAGCTTTTGTGACCTTCCTCCCAAGTCTGAATAGAACCGATCAGATTTGGTTTGCAGAGCCACCCATCTCCCTTCTGTTGATATTCCAGGGCTTTCCCACTCACCAAGAATTTCCACAGGCCTCCAATATCATTGCTCCTCTCAAAGCAGGTGGGTTCCAGCCCCTCTTCCAGGCAGCACCGGATGGAGGCCAAGCCACTGACACCAGCTCCGACGATGGCCACTCTCTTCCCCATGATCACCAGGAGGAGGGTCTGGAGATAGCTTCTTCAGAAGAGTGTCCCTGAATACTTAGGATTTTTCGGTAGGAAGAACCAGCCAAGGTTTATGGGTCAGGATCCTCACCTTACGACAAGAAGACATAATGCACATTAACAATTTATACTCACTAATTTTTTACCACTCTTGCTATTGTATGATACCAAATCTGGTTTCTTCTCCAGCTTATTCGAGATGCCCCAAATAGCAGAATCAGGGAATGCTGGAGCAGGAAGGACCTTAAAGTTCATCAGTCTAATGCTCTCAAGTACAAATGCAGCAATAGTCACTCCTAGAAGATTAGAAATTGTTTCTTTGACATCTTGCAGCTAACAAGCAAAGGAGTTGGAGTCAGAACTGAAGCCTTCTGCATGAAATCCACTGTTCCAAATCACCCCTACTCACTTTGAATGCTTGGCTCTACGGGGTTTAGTCTTAATGCACTGCCTTCCTTTCCTCAGCGAGCGGGCAGTGCTTTAAATGTAGAAAAAAATGGCTTTTAACATTGTCTTTTCATGTAAAAATTGAGGAAGGGGGAGGAGTTATTAGTCTTAAAGTAGAAATTCCTTTTTTTTTAAATTTTTCATGACGTAGAACCCTGCTAAAGAGGAGGACTGAGTGTGGTGGAGATAGCAGAAGGGGGGAGAGGGGGTAGAGGAAGAAAGGGATTGCGGAAGGGCAAGAATGAGGTCCCTGGCCCAGGTTCCAAAAAATAAAATAGTAACTGATACTGTCACGGAGGCTGTAAAGTGAAGCCTCTGGAAGATTAACAGAACAATGGTTCTTTTATTTATTTTTGCTTTGGAACTTCAGAATGTATAAACAAATACTATGCACCTGGACTATTTGTTATGCCAATGGTGGAAAAAAAAAACCCTCATTTTTTTTTTAAACTTAGGAGGGTATGATTTGAGGAGCTGAGCTAACCCTTGGAGATGATGGGTTTGTAAAAACTAGTGAACTCAAGGACAGAATTGTGAAGTCACTTGAGTCTTGTCTCCGGCTCTTTCCCACTTCCTCCTGCCTTTCCTGCTTCTATACACCTCCTTCTTCCCCTTCTTCCTTCCCACCCTTCCTTCCTTTTGTCTGAGTGCCTCCCTTATGTCTTGGGGATTCAAAGGTGAAAAGATCCAGTGCTTTCCATCCAGAAGTGTATAGTCTAATGGAGAGAGAGATGATCCATCAATGTCACCGTGGAAATTTGATTCGGTGAGTGCTGGCCCTCAGGTGGGAACATCTGAGTCTGTCTGAGAGAAGAGAAAAGAGGATTCAAGAGGAAGGGAGCCAAAAACTGAGTGCTGAAGGAAGAATAGATGCCTGCCAGGTAGTCAATGAGCAAGGAACACATGATGGGCATGGAGGAAAAAATGGGCAAATGCACAGAAAAGAGGCTTTGAGTGATCAAGTTACAATTAGTTCAGTGTTGCTGGGCAGAGGTGATGGGGATAGCAGAGGGTAGACTCAACATGCAGGGCCCTGATTATGAAGGACTTTGAAATGCCACACTCAAGGGTTTGGATACCATCCTCTAGGTTATAGTGATCCATTCAAGAATTCTGAACGAGGAAGTGACAAGGTAAGAAAAGATCAGATTCATATGGAAGCTAGCCAGACAGCTGGATTCATATGGACAGTGGCTAGGATCAGGGATACCAGGATGTAATTTCAATAGTCTAGAACAGAGATGCTGAGGGACTAAAGTAGAGAAGTGTCAGGGGAATGGAGAATAGAGAGACATAAGAGATATATAGGACATAGATGTTCAGGAACTTGTTGGCTGATTATAGACTTGATGCCTCAAAGAAGGTCTTTGAGATTTTATATTGTAATTTGTATGCATATCACTTTTTTTATTAAAAAATTTTTTTAATGTTTATTTTTGACAGAGAGAGACAGAGTGCGAGCAGGGGAGGGGCAGAGAAAGAGTGAGACACAGAATCTGAAGCAGGCTCCAGGCTCTGAGCTGTCAGCGCAGAGCCTGACATGGGGCTCAAACTTGTAAACCATGGGATCATGACCTGAGCTGAAGTCAGAGGCTAACCAACTGAGCCACCCAGGCGCCCCTGTATCACTCTTGATTTAGTATAGAAAGCAGTGGCCATCCTGTTTCACAAAGAAAGGGACTTAGTACAGGAATTAGGTGCATGTAATAGAGGGAAGGACTGGAGGAGCAACATCCAGGGTTCTCCCTGCCAAAATCAGGGCCTTGTAAGAACACACGACTAGAGCTACCATCCAATGGGCAGGAACCGCTGTGGTTGCCACAGACACTTCCAGAGGGTGGGACGCGGAGTTTGGCTGATGTAAACATACCTGTTGGAACATGTTTATGGATCAATGTAGTCACCAAAATTCAGCCTCTGCCTCCCTTTGTCTTCCAAGCCCAGATATCTAAATCACTGGAAAAACCTAAATTGCCTTTAAGCCCTAACTACAAGGAAGTCTTAGAAATGTAGTTTTCAGCTTCCAGTCCTTGTGATGCAGGAGGGAGTCCAAGGGGGAGGGTTGGTATGCCAAGAGTCCCTAGGCAGCATCTAGCACCGTGGGTTACATGGTATTAAGTGGAAGCCACTCCTGCATTCTTAGGATACCTAAACATACTCCTATTCTTCTCTGATACCAATACGGTAAACACTCAGTGCTTTACCCTTTTGGTTATATATTTTCTGATAATTCTTACAGGACTTCAGATCTCTCCACTGTACAATGAGCAAATTGAACTAGATAATTGCTAAAGTCCTTTCAACATTCCATGAATCTCTTAATTTACTGACTAGGCTTCAGCAACCCTTTTCAGAAATAGAAAATGTAAGCCAACGATGACACAAATGCATGGAAATTACTTAAGAGGATTTTTCTTGTTCTATGTATCCCACTGTCAACAAGTCGATTTAATTTGTTGCTGAGACCCACTTGTTCAATGGGAGGTGTCAGCTAATAGAACTGAGAATCTAAGAGAGTCAAGAACATAGAGCGTGAGAGAGAATCTTTGGGGTAGACCTCTTCGGAAAGAGCTGTTGGTGTGTTGCATCCATTTTTCCATCAAAGAAATGGAATCAAAAGACCTGGTTCTTGAGATAAGCATAAGGGGAGGGGCTCAATCCCACCATTTGGGGAGCAGTTGGGTGCTCTGTGGAATTTTTGTCCACCTGACCTTTCCTGGAAAATCTAGAGGATGGGATTTGGGCTGGCTAGCTGTGAAGGGGAGTTGTGTTTATGTTGTGTTTGGCCAGCACTCCCTGAGTTTATTGAGACAAAGCATGTGTTAGGGTTTCCTGAGGGACGGATGTGAGCCATCGAAAGAGAACTAATATGGGGTCATATTAGGTCCTGTCCACTAGGGCTATGGAAGTGTCTGCCAGAATAGGGTCCATTCTTCTGAGTCAAGAGAACTGTTGGGGAGAGGTCACCATTGTTTTGGGGTGCAAAGACATCCATACAAGTAAGAACTAGTTTTAAACATCTACCAGGCTCAGAGATCTGGAAGCCAGAATGTGATAATACCAATTAAATTAGATGTCTCCCCCACCTCCGCCTTTTTTTAACCTCTCTTTCTCTTCTCTTCTTCTGATCCCTTCCTGGACTTTCTGAAAGAATCAGAAACCTCCCCGTTGACATCATGGGGAGGAAGAGTGGGCGCCCAGGTGATACAGAAGAAAGGTTTCATGCCCCACTTCCAAAACCTTAGGTCTCCCCTGGTGGCAGGCCCAGGGCGAAGTACTAGAGAGAAGATTAGAACTTTAAATAAAGTCCAAGGCTTTGATTATTACACGAGAGACCGAACCTTCCATTTTCTGAATTAAGTCAGTGGTTGTGACTTAACAAGACTGCAGAAATGTCTATTACCCAAAAATGATCAGGAGAGTCATGAGCTTGTGGGTCTTTCCCTGTAAGTTCCCACAGCTTGACAGTATCTTTAGAGAGATAAGTGGAGGTACTCCAGGTACTTAATCAGATGAGCGAGAATATCCCCGGAGTTACTTGGTAGATTAAAGAAGGCAAGACGGAGAAGCAATGGGGGAACGTTTTCCGCCATGCCCTGGAGCTGCCGCTTCAGCTTTGATCTTGGGCATGATGAAGGACCAGAAGGCAGAGGCATGTTAAGGCCAGGGAGAAGGGCGGTCATTACCAGGCTCCTTCCATCTCCCCATGAATTGGGAGTCTACCTCCTGCTTGGTCCCAGCTCTCCCTGTCCTCAAAGTGCCATGCTATTTTTTTTGCAGCCCGGAGCTCTCCAAGCTCAAACCACGGGGGCTGGCAGCACCCTGGGGTTCACACTAGGCTTTTCCAAGAGCCAGATGAAGATTAGATTGAGATTAAGGAACATTCTAGAATACTAACAAATATTTATTTATTTATTTATTTATAAAAATTTTTTTTAATATTTATTTTTGAGAGAGAGAGAGAGAGAGAGAAAAAATATGAGTGGGGGAGGGGCATAGAGAGAGGGAGACACAGAATTTGAAACAGGCTCCAGGCTCTGACCTGTCAGCACAGAGCCCGCCATGGGCTCGCAGTCGCAAACTGCGAGAGCATGACCTGAGCCGAAGTCGGACACTTAACTGACTGAGCCACCCAGGCACCCTGAATACTAACAAATATTTAGAACATGTTTTGCGTTTACTATCTCCTAACTCCCTTGCAAGATAATTAGGATCAGGATTCTCAGTTTACTAACGAAGACAATGAGCTGTTCAAAATAATGAAACCAGTAAAAATTTATGACTTTATGGTGTATGCTTTTTTCCGATATCTTATAAAATGGGAGTAATGAGAATACAAATATTGATTGAGCGCTTACAGTGTGCCAGGCATCGTCTGAGACCTTGGAATGCCACAACAGCAGAGTACTGTCCCCTAGAAATGCGTTTAGTGTGGACTCCAGGATACGGCACGTGGGATGCTTCACACTGCGCCTGGCACTCTGGAAGTGACGTGGTGGCATTGGGGGACAGCATTCATGATAACGATTGTTGTT